CGAGAGGCAGCCTTCGCTCACATCCCCTCGCTGCAGTTCCTGTAGGTCTCCCGTGCCGGTGGCTGGGCATCTCGGTGCCCCCCATGCCCGTCCTGCTTGACCCTGGTGCTGACACCCCCTCCTCTCTTTGCAGCTTGCTGAACTCCAACAAGTTCACGTTGATCGGGGACAACGCCTTCGCCGGCCTCTCGCACCTTCAGTACCTGTGTGTGGGATGGGGATGGGGACACAGGGATGGGGACATGGGGATGGCATGGGGAGGGTGGGGGTATCCACCGTCTCCTCCTGCCCTAGGTTCATCGAGAACAACGACATCCAGGCGCTCTCCAAGGGCACTTTCCGTGGGCTCAAGTCCCTGACCCACCTGTGAGTACCGGGGGGGTCCCACATTCCCGGGGGAAACAGGCAATGGCTCTTGTCCCTTCACTGCGCCAGGGCTGTGGCACCTCCATGGCCCCTCTTTTCCCACAGATCTTTGGCCAACAACAACCTGCGGACATTGCCCCGGGACCTCTTCAAGCCGCTGGACATCCTGAGCGACCTGTAAGGCTGCTGCGGCACCAGGGACCCCCAGGGCACCGAGTTGGGGAGAGAGTGACATCCCGGTGCTCAGGGTTGGGGCAGGGTGCTCTGCTCACTCCGGGCTGGGTGCTGGGGGTGACTGGGTGCCATCCTCGGCAGGGACCTCCGGGGCAACACGTTGGCCTGCGACTGCAAGATCAAGTGGCTGGTGGAGTGGCTGGAGAGCCCCAACACCACAGTCCCCGCCACCTTCTGCAGCAGCCCCGGGCAGTTCGAGGGCCAGCGGATCCGGGACCTGGCGCTCGGTGACTTCCAGTGCATCACCACGGGTAAGCGACCGTGGGCACTCGCCTCCCCGCTCCCAGGCACCTGGACCCTCAATGCTGCCTCTCCCCCCAGACTTCGTGGTGCACCAGGTCCTGCCCTTCCAGTCGGTGTCAGCTGAGCCCTTCACCTATGCCAGCGACCTGTACGTCGCCCTGGCACAGCCCGGTGCCAGCAGCTGCGCCATCCTCAAGTGGGACTACGTGGAGCGCAAGCTGCGGGACTTTGACCGCATCCCTGGTAAGGCATCCGGGCCGGGGGGGTCCCTCCAGGGTTGTGACCCCCATTTTGGGTGACTGGGGAAGGGCACAGCGCCAGCATGACGTGGTCCTGCCCGGCAGCTCACTCGGCGGTGCAATGCAAGCCCATCGTGGCGCAGGACCAGCTGTACGTGGTGGTGGCTCAGCTCTTCGGTGGCTCCTACATCTACCGCTGGGACACCGCCGTGGACAAGTTCATCAAGATCCAAGACATCGACAGCCAGAAGACCCGCAAGCCCAACGACATCGAGGCCTTCCAGATCGAAGGCGACTGGAACTTCGTCCCCCCCGCGCCCCCCCCCGGGGCCGCCCCCCCCAGCCTCTACCGCCTCAACCAGAACGGCTTCTACTCCCACCAAGCCCTCCACGCCTGGCACCGCGACACCGACGTGGAGTACGTGGAGAACGACGGCAAACCCCGGCTGATCATCTCCAGCAGCTCCCAAGCCCCCGTCATCTACCAGTGGAACCGGGCGCAGAAGCAATTCGCGCCCCAGGGGGAGGTGGGGGAGATGCTGGACGTGCAGATGGTGAAGCACTTCAGGGTGAAGCGGGACCAGTTCCTCTGCCTCAGCCGCTACAT